CTTTAACAAGGTTTTACTAAGAGTAAAGTATAAGAAGGAAAGAGAATAATAGCATCTCTCAATTCCAAAACTTATGATTCACACTTATTTAAAAACAATAGAATAAAAATAAGGAACTGTAATAATTATCAAGCTTTCCAGCGCCAACATAGTTGCTGGGAAAAAATCCAAACATCAAGCGATACATAAGACCTCGAACAAAGAGTAACCTACCAACACCCGATAGATTCTTGGCAATTTCATCGGGTTGATCACTTGCGTCCCGGCTACTGTAAGGAATAGATGGTGACGGTTCATCGCTGAAAGCATCAATAGACTAACTGAAAAAGATCATTCTATGAGTTTATAAACTAAATTCATTATTACCGATCACGTAAACACCCACATAAAGTGACAATATCAGCATAATTATAAGAAACAATGAAAATGAGTCTTACTCAATTATGGTCAACTCTACAGTTCCATTTTTGTAAACCGTTTTTCGCTGAATATTGGAAGGTGGCGCAGGACTGTGTGCACCGGCGTCACCATTACAATGAGGACTCTGAAGGAACGTAAGGCTGTAGAAAAAAAACAACTTGGATAAAATAGCAGAAAAAAACTGCAACTGTACATGTAAATATATGTGGTAGGTTTCTTCAACTATGGATATTCAATCGAATAGACGAAATTTGTAAGATAAACTTTATTAAAGAAACGCTTTCATTGGTTTAATGGCTGTAAATCTCCAAATAATGATCGCTGATGGAATGATTGTCGATGTAAGTTGCCGCTCATGCTTCTCTATTGTGGTCGAGCATCACATCCATTCTTAGCACACTTTCACGCAAAATGCGATGCGACACCAATATCGCCGCAAAATCCCGGAAATCTAGCGGAATACCTCATACAGACATCCCATTGGTGGTGGTGGGACTGAATAGTCGAAGTTGATTGTTAACGGATCAAAAGCCGAAACTTCCATCGGCTTCCGCAGCGTCAGATTAGATGTTGGATTTACGCGGAGCGAGGCGGTGAAGTCCGCGTTGCAAGCAAAGGCTTCGTGCGCGGTCGGAAAACGATCGAGTGGAGCGCGAAAAT